CGGTGGGTGCGTATTGGGCTCAAAAACAGTTGGTGACAACACAGCACAGTTGACTCGGTCACCTCACTTTTCCTCGAGTAGCACGGATGTGCCAAAAGGGGCTGCGGTCACGTCAAGTGTCTTACATGACATGCCATCTCTACTCCTAGCTAGCTACTTAGTTCTGAACTAGGTGTTTTACCCCTAGCAAGTTGCCACCCTCCTTAGAGTGGACTTGTCGGAGTGAGACGCTACTGGTGAGACGTCCCTACATCCCCAGGAACCGGTTTTCAGCCCGTCTCCATTGTTCGAATTCTGCCGGAGACATATGGGCGAACGGATCGCTCCGCTCGATGCTGGCTGCATCGGCTTCGCTTTCCGGTTCCCGGGTCGGCGGGTCTGCCCGCTCAGGCGGAGCTGCCCGCTGCACAGCGGTGCTGCCCGCGCTGGCTGGTGCCGCCTCGGACTCACTTGACTCAGAGTCCTGGAGGTCCGACATGCCGTCGGGATGCTCTCCTCGTAGGAGAGACTCTTCTTGGTTGCGCCATTCGATCAACTCCTGTATGGTCATTCTGGCCTCTGCGGCTTCTTGGACCCAACGTTCTTCGTGCCACCTCTCGATCCCTCGAGGAGTAAGTTCCTCAGGAGACCGCGGGGCTACCGCTGGTGTCCGCGGGTTTGCCGCCGGCTCTGACCGCGGGGTTGCCGCTGGCGCTGGATTGGTCAGCGTTAGCTGCTGATTGTTTCTGATGGCAGTCACCCTGAGTCGCAAGGTGATCTGCTGATCTTGGATGTGCAATTGTACCTCATGGCCTGTTTCTTGTGCTACTGGCTCGATTGGACATAACCAGTCCACACAACAAGCGATGAACTGTTCTGCTAGTTTCCATATCAGCACACACGTGCCGATTGCGGCCAAGAAAAACAATGCATACCATTCGTATGGGGACAGGCAGTACGTTGGCTGCCCTGCCACTGCCTGAATTTGGCTCAGGACAACAAGTGCCTTGATGCACCCGACCAGTTGTCCATTTTGCCGATAGGCCGTGGCGGTTCTTCCCGCTCGATCTTGGTCTTTGATCCAACCAACACAAGCTGGCGTAGGAGTCTTCCACGCATGTTGCTTGGTTACGGTTGAGACCTTGACAGAGATCTTCTTGCTCGAAGAGAGCATATCTTCTCCGTCACGAGCTTCATACATGCCTAAACCAGGCATTGCTTGCCTTACTTCCGTTCCACTCTTTGGATGCTTGGTGAGGAAGTTGGCACAATTCACAGTGCCCTTGACCTTGCCCAAAGCTATCTGCTTGGACTGCAAAGCTCCTTGCACATAGAACTCACAGACTTCTAGGTGTCTGAGCTTGGACCGAGCCTGGTCCAATGCGCTTGGAAGCTTGCATTGCCGATGAACTGTCCGTCCATAGGCGGGGCTTACCGCACTGCTGGCCAAAATCTCGGGTGATCAGCTCCTTGAGGAAGATGGCTTCCCGAGCTGCCCTCGAAACTCCCCTGAGCTCAGCGTCCGGCGAACTTGTCGCTGGTAGGCCTGGTTGGGTCTGTGTGCCACATGCGACGATTGCACCACACACAACTGCTATGTAACAGTCGGTGCTTCGCCGTGTTTCCAGGCATCCGGCCCAATCCGAATCGCTATACAATTCGCATGGCCATTCTGAGCTACAATTGGGATCACAGGTTGTGACTCGGCCAACATGTGGATGCGATTGCAAGTATGCCGCGAGAGTCTTGACGGCTTGCATGTCACATTTTCGCGGTTGCGACATGTGTCGCGCTGCTTCTTTTACTGCGTACTGGATCTCCCTCCTGTCCAGCGACAGGTAGATCGCTGATCCTACTGCCGAGCGATACAGCTTGGCATCTGCCTCGCCAAGAGGCTCCGTTTCTAAGAGGTTCAGTTGTTTGGAAGGAACCTCACTGCGGTCTCTGGCGGAGATTCCCGCAGCAGCGATGACAGCTTTGATGTGCTTCTCATCTGGTATCGTGATGATAGCATCTTTGGTTCGTACCTTGGTGCGACCCAGGTACTCAACAGCTGTTCCTTCGCTTTCGAGCTCTCCTGCTTGGACCTCACAGTGTTTCGGCATTTCGACATCAACCAGGTGGTTGACAGCCTCTTTTGGTCCAGCCATACGGATGTCGTCTATGTGGTGAATCAGGATGATCCCTGACTTGTCACAACGGAAGACACATGGATCCTTCTCACCACGAGAGAAAGAATACCGCTGTGGATCAACCTTTGAGCAGAGGATTTCCTCCAACTCATTTCTGTAGACGGATCCGGCTGTCCTTCTGCCGTATAGGTTTCCATCCAACCTGAAGAAAAGTTCTTTGAACGATTCCTTGTACCAATCCTTCAATTCGGGGCTGAGAGTTTCTAGCCACTCAAGGAAGATGTCGTGCCACTCAACTGGTGCACGCATGTAGACATGCTTCCCTTCGCTGGCTCCTCGGTCAGCTCCAATCAAGAAGGCTGCGACGATGTCCAGACTTCGGGCATAGTAACCCTTTGTCAGAGCATAGACCTCCAGAAGATTGTGCGCTTCTGGGGTCGGAGTTGGAACGAACACGTCCAATCCCTCCTCCTCGGCTGCTGTGTAGCGAGCCTTGACGTCAGCGCATGTGAAACGCGACTTGTATGCTCCTTTGGAACACTTGTCAACCCATTTGTGTGAGAAGATTTGTGAACCTTTTGGGATTTCTTGGCGGTGCACGGGTGTGAAGGCACCTCGCTCCCAAAGCTTTTGAAGTTGGACTTTTCGCGCTTTGGTGACCTCCTCTGGGTCGAGCAATTGGTCAACGAAATCCGTCACATTGGCTATCCTTTGCAGAGCCATTGGATTGCTCTTGTCTTCGGAGTTGGCCCATTCTTGGATATGGGACCAGATCTCGTGATTTGTTAAATGCTGCAAGACACCTGCTTGCCTGGACTGCTTGGCTTCAGCTTGTCCGGGTGCAAGCGCTGCCTGATCATCTCTTACTCGCTTCCCTCCTTGACCAAGTCCGCTCGGACTCATCGGTTCGTCCGGGAGGCTCTGAAGCGACGATGACCATCCCGCACCTCGGAAGGGCGGAGGCTGCCCGCTCGGCCTTGCTGCCGGCGGAGGATCTGCAGCTTCAGATCTTGCTGGCGTGGTGGGCACGCAGCTGAGCGCGTCGTCGTCGTCCGCGGGGATACCCGCTGGGAAGTCCTCGGCTTGGTCGCCAAGTAGGTCTTCCAGCTGGGCTGCGGCTTGCACGACTAACCCATCCTGGTCAACGTTTTGACCATCTTCTGCCAGTGTCGGATGTTCTTCCTCCGGGGGTTCTGATGCCAGCGCGGTGGGACCCGCTGCGGCTGGCGCTGGGAGTGCCACTGGCTGTGACAGCTCTCTGTTGATCTTGTGCCTCATCCCGTCGCGGGGTTGCCAAGGAATTCCTTTCATGTTGTTCATCAGCTCTTGACTGATCTGCGATTCCTTTGGCAGTCTTCTCACCGATCTCACGGCGATTGCCCCAGACGACGTGCCAAGCACATTGCTGTCGTCTCTGTCCAGCTTACCTAGCCATATGCCTTTGATCCACCTTCGCTGCATCTTGCCCCTCGGGGTCGGTACTTTACCAAGAACTACTTCGCCTAGCATGGCGACTGGGTGTGAGTAGTCGCTGCCAGTTGTCAGGCGGTAGGGCGTGAGCCCATCTTTTCCTCTCACATGGAAACGTGCTATCAGCCATGCCGCGTGGCGCACAAGCCACGGTGTCAAGTTGCTGGACACGTCCAAGGAAGGATACCGCTTCCTGACGTCGAGCCACAAAGCTCGGATTTGGCTTGCTACAAACCCATTCATGGATTCCACAGCTCCCTGTGATTGGTGCTGCTTGGGCGGAGACTCCCGCACAGAGGCTCGGCTGGCTCCAACATGTCTTTGGATTGACTCAGCCAGTGCTCTGATCGAGGGCTCGCCATCATGCTGCAGAATGACTTTGCTGTACCCAACGTTCTTCAGGTAGAGGTCCACATTCTGTAGACAATACCTGGACTGGGCTATCTCGGTTGACTTGTTGGGAAGTTGAAGTGCCAGCGGCCAACCTGTCACCGTGTCAGTCACCGTGTCAGTCAGACACAGGATTGTGACCAGCCTTGACTCATCTTCAACCTCTTCCTCCTTCTCAGGAGAGAGAAAGAAGTAATCCATTTGGATCAACCCTGTTCCCTCACGCGTTGAGGATTGATCGCTCCTATGCCAATCTTGTTTGGCCTTACCCGACACGCACTCTTCACACCATGGTTGAAACGGTAGGTGTGTGAGGCGATGGGATTCCACCTGCGCCTCAGTGGGGCTTATGGGTTGCGACAACCCCTCTGGCTCCACAGGTGGCGGGGCTTCCGCTTCTTCCTCCAGGTCTGCCAAGAGACCGGGGTCTTGTTCCAGAAGCTCCTTGGCCTTTCTCACTTCTTCTTCACGCCTGGCATATTCTTGCACTGCCTCGGCTTCTTCATCCTCTTGCATGGCATAGGCTTCAACTGCCATTGCATCTTCATCGATGGCTGCCACCTTGCCATATCTGGTGGTAGGTGGCTCCAACTCTTCAAACGGAAGGAGAAACTGTTTGCCCTGCCTGGCAAACGTGGCTTTCCTGCCATCTGCCCATTGGATGTAGCAGTTGTCACTTTCAAAGTGGACACTGGCTCCAATGTCCAATGCCCTGTTGACTGACAGGATGTTTTCGTTCACACCTTCAACCACCTGGAAGGTGACTTGAGCTTCTTCTTTGAGCTTGTCTCCAAGCCTGAGCTGAGGGCGGACTTCCCCGCACGCCTGCAGTGGAGTGTCATCCACCGTGTATAGTTCCTCAACGGCGTTGGGGTCCAAGAGAGCACTTGGAAAAGCCTCAGGTCTACAGACTGAAGAGCAGGCTCCTGTGTCCACCAGCAGTGTGCCTCTGCTGGCAACCTTGGCCACTCGTGCAGTGTCACTTCTTTGGAAGACTTGAAGTGCCCATACCCTGGTGCCTTGAAACGTCTCGTGTGGCTCATGCAGGAGCTTCCATTTCTTTCTGAACTCCTTGCAATCCCAGGCGTTGGACTCTTCATTCCACTGCCACGTTGACCTAAACGTGTAGCCAGGATACTGCGACCCTGGTGTTGCATACTTTCGTGTGGCACCATTCTTGCCTTTCACCACAAACACCTTGGTGTTGGGATCAGGGTCGTGCCATCCAGGTTGGTCTCGATAGGCAAAAATTGCTTCCAACTTGGATACAAGAGATTCCTTTGCCAAAATGGCATTGCCAGTAGATATTTCTCCACCTTCTGGTATGGCCAACATGGCCTTTTGTGAAACATGGCGGTGTTGCCCGCTGCTGGTGGCCTTGACCATGAGAAGTCGGTGTTCCCCGATCATTCCAACGTTCTTCCCTTTGTTGGAAGTGGTCGTGGATGGAAGGGTGATTACACTTTGACCACCAACTTGAGATGCAGATGGCCCTGCAGAGATCACTGACGCATTGTCTTCAGTGATACCTGCAACTCCTTTCTTGCCCTTCCCCTTTGGTTGGCCTTTTGAGTTGAACCAACACTTCTCAATGGTATGGCCGGTTTTCCAGCATATGGCGCAACGATCCTTCTCCTGTTGACCTTTGCCACCTTTGTTGTTGTGGCTGTCTTTCCCTTTTCCTTTGGCCTCTTTTCCTTTGCCCTTCTTATTATCCTTTCCCTTGCCATCTTTTCCTTTCCCCTTTCCTTTGCCATCACCGACAAGGCTGATGTTCATGGCATCTGGATCTCTTGTGCGTGCGGCGGCTCCCGCATACGCGGCTGATGGCCTCCAAACCTGCTTTGCTTGCAGATAGGACACCACCACCTCACGCACAGACTGATACGTGGTTCTGAATTGGCTCGGATTGCGCTCAAAGCGAAGGACAAGGCTCCGGGCATGGATGCCTGGACAGCTCTCCATTTGTGCAATCTTCCCATTGCTTTTTGGGATCAGGTCGGTGCTCTTTGGGATGCTTGCTTGCGACATGGCTGTGTTCCTGCGATGTGGAAAGATGTTAGAATTGCTTTGTTACCAAAAGCTACTGGTGGCATGCGCCCTTTAGCCATTGTCACTGTCCTGTGGCGTATTTGCATGAGTGCCACTCTGAAAAAATTACAGCCTTGGATTGCTGAATGGGCTTCGCCCGAACTTTTTGGTGGTCTACCAGGCAAGGGCATCATGGAAGTCCATGAACGTTTCTACGAAGCTGTCAGCACGGCAAAGCAGTCTCGTGTCGATTTGGTCGGGTGCAAAGCTGATGTTCGCAAGTGTTTTGATTCAGTTTGCCCCCAGACAGCCATTAAAGTGTGGCGATGGTTCGGTGCTCCCTCATCAATTTGTGATTTACTCGCTGATTTTTACAGTGAACAGCGTCGTTGGTTTGCTTGGCAAGGTTCTTATCACCCTCATCCGGTTTTTGCTCAACGGGGTTTGTTGCAAGGCTGTCCAGCCAGCCCTGCGCTACTGAACGCTTTGATGACCGTTTGGGTGAGGTTTGTCAAACGGCAGGAACCAAGGATTTCTTTGGCTATTTATTTGGACGATCGCACCATGTGGAAACAAGGTTGTCAAAGTTTTGAAGTGGTCATCAACGCCATGACTGCGGGAGCGCAAGCCGATGCTATTCTCGGCTTCGAACTTCACCCTGACAAATTGGCTAGCTTCGCCACCAAACCGCATCTGGTTGCCAAGGTGCGCAAGAAGAAAGATTTAGTAGGTGTACCTGCGGATACTTTCACACTGCTTGGCATTCAATACAATTTGTCACGCCCCAGTTCTTGTGTTGATACGGATATTGTCAGTGACAACATTCAGCGACGATGTCTCAAAATTCGTTTGGCAGCACAGCACTTAGGCACTCGCATTGCATTGGTGCATAAGTTGGTGATATCTTTATTTGCTTGGTCCGGTGCTTTTCATCACTTCAGTGCAAGAACCATTCGAACATGGACATCTATGATCGAAACTGCACTTTGGGGTCGAAGGGCTCCTCCAGGTAGGAGCCGGCTGCTCTTTTGGAATTCTTTGGGTTCTGCAAGACTACATCCGATGTTTGCGCTCCAGTTCACCGCCGCCCGGGCGGAATGGAATCGGCAATGCCGCCGTGCCCAAGGGTTGCCTGCAGCTACCTCGCCTGCTCCTCGCTGGAAAGCAGTGCTCAAAGATTGGAAATGGCGACTTGACGAGGGCCTGTGGCACACGCCTGCTGGGATTTTGAAACCTGGGTGGATGTCTTTGAAAAGCTTGCAAAAAGCCGCTATCCATTCATGGCTCGTTGGTTTGTGGACTAAAGACACCAAAACGGATGGTCGATGGCCAAACGGCAAGGAGCCGGTTTTCCTTTTTCAGGCAAATGCAGCTTTAGGCATGGATTACTACAGTCGCAGGGTTTTGACTGGTGCTGCAGTGGATGGCAGGGTCACAGAGCGCTTTGGTTCTGCTTTTGAGTTGTGAATGTGGATTGCGGTCTCCTGATCGAGAACATCTCACTTTTCACTGCCAAGCGCAGCCATGGGATGGTGAGTTCAGGAGCGCTACTGAACGTCGTTTGCTGGTTCCACTTGTGGATGCTCCTCCTGTGTTGCCTTTTTCCAACATGGTAGCAGATCCTGCTTTGGTTACTTTTATTCAGCAATTCGATCCTCTTCAGCGACCCACCTTGGGTTTGGACGGCAGTTGTATCATAGCTACTTCCTGTGATCGATGGCAAAGAGCTAGCTGGGCGGTTTCGACACTTTCAGGCACCACTGTTCAAGGTGCCGTGACTGGTTTTGAGCAAACCCCTGCTGCAGGTGAGCGTGCTGCTCTTCTGCAAGCTTGTTTAGCCTCTTCTGCAGCTAACAGACCGGTGATGCTCTTGATTGACAATCAGGCTTTGGTGCGGCGGCTTCAGCGAGGCATTAGCACTGGCCGTTGGGAGGGTGACTTGCCGCTTTTCTGGCAGCGGATCAGCGGCTTATTGATTCAGGGCACTGTTTGCACTTGGATCCCTTCTCACAACAAGGTGCCTGACTGGACACCACCAGATGGTTGGATTGATGTTCATCTCTGCCGCGTTCTCAATGCGACAGCCGATGCTCAGGCATGTGAGGTGTTGCGTGACTCACGCTCCATGATCGCTGCGGCTGTGCAGCGACATCAGCGAGCCGTGGCTTGGGCTGCAGCAGTTTGGCGTCTGCAGCGGCTACGGACTTTACCTTTTTGGCAAGTCGTACTTGATCAACAAACATTCCTTGCGGAATGCTAGCTGGCGCACTGTGTTTACTTCTTTTTTCAGGCAGGTTTCGCTTCTTTTGTGTTTTGCTTGGAGAAGTATGGGAACTTGATTCTCGCAGATGGCATACTATGGCGTCTTAACTACTTCACTTCGGTGAGGAGCAGGTTGACGTCCGCTTACAACAACAACAACAACAACAACAAGGGTTCCAATGTGCATGGAAAGGTGTTGCTTCAGGGCGGTTGGCGCCTCAGTAAGGACTACAGCTCTTTTGTCTTCGTCACTGATGGCCTTACTGGGACCATATTCGGCCTCATATTTGTCAAGGTCAGCTTCCCACTCTTGGAGTGCCGCTGAAAACTCTGCTTCCTTTGCAGGAAACTTGGGACTGAGCAACGAGCGCCGCCAGATCAAACTCTTGGAGTGATTGTCTGGGGCCATTTCACGCCACAACAGTCTCCAAAACTCAAAACCATTTTGGTCTCGAATGCCACGGGCAATCTTACTTGCCACTGCCAATTCTTGAGTCCACGAGTTCAGCATTGCAAACAATTGCCTCCCTCGGGATTTGGCTTCGTCAGTCATATCGACTGGGTCCACAAAACTGGTGAGCTTGCGTGAATTGTCCAAGTCTGCTGGAAAGTTTTCGTCCAGCAAAGCCAAGTATGTTTCTACTTGGAAACTGAACCGTTCCCATTGGTCTCGATCCTTTAAGGATTGAGGCTGTTTCACAGACTTGAGCACGTCAATATGATTGACCGGCTTACTGCTTCCGGCGGGTGTTCCCGCGCTCTGGAGCGGGGGAACTTGCCCTTGGGCGACGCCTACGTTCGCGGTCTGCTGCAAGGATTGCTGCAATAGTGCCATGACGCCTGTCAGGCGCTGGTCCAGATCTTGCTTTTCCTGCTGCAGCTGGGCGTTCTGTTGCACCTGGCTCTGATGGGCGATATTCAGCGCTTGCATCTGACTCGCTAGAGCATCCATCCGCAGCTGCATTTCGCCGATGACCTGTTGTGGGTCTGTCATCGCGTTCTTCTTCGGGCCTTTCGTCCACGACCTCAGTGGTCAATGGTGGCTTCGGTTGTTGGCTTGATTGGCTCAAAGCCCCTTGGATTTGGTCACACAAGTCCAATGCCTTGCTCAGCTCGGCCTCGACTGCTGGGCCTTTGCTGTCGGCGGAGGACCGTGCGGTGCTCCCTGCAACTCCCGCTGCGTACAGTGGGGGTGCTTGGAGACGACGCTGCTCCAGCCACTTGGTTTGGGCTGCTACAGCTTCTGCTTCTCGCCTGGCGGTTTCCAGGTCAGGGATCTCGCACACCTCGTAGCTGCTGTAGCTCGAGAGCGAATCTCCCCACTCAACTTCTGTCTCGTTGCCAGATTCGTCTGCTGCCGCGGCTGCAATTTCTTCTGGGACCTCTGGCTGAGGCTGGTCCAGAATGCGCCGGGCTTCGCTGATGTAGTGCTCGTCCGGTACCCTTGGAGGAGTGGGCACACGAACGGAGGAAGAAGCTGGTAGCTCCTCCTCTAGAACCTCTTCCAGTTCTTCTTCTGGAATGGGCTCTTGTGACTTGGCCTCCGTCTCGGCCCTGTCTCTTCGCCTGCGATCCTTCCGAGGGACCAGGCTTACTTCAGCCTCTTCGTTCGCCTCTAAGGCTGCTTGGCCTGGGGGCGGGGCTGACCGCGCTCTCCTCTCGCTAGTGGACACCCGTGGGGGTCTACTTGGCTCGGGAGGAGCGGTGTCTCCTTGCTGCGGCTCTGTCTGAGTCGCTGCTTGCGCCTGTTGGGCTGCTAGCTCTGCCTGTCTTCGGCGCTCTTGTCCTCGATCGATCCGGCGCTGGGTCGCTGCAACGGATCGATGTCCACGACGATTCCTGTCTTGAGTGAATCGGCTATCTCTCCTTGGAGTTCGATTTGACCGGGCTGCCTCTTCCTGCCAGGTGGCGGCAGAGGACGCTCGGGAACGACGATTCCAGCCTCTCGTCTCCGTAGAGGACGTTGGCTGCGTAGATCGGGCTCGGCTGTCCCAATCCCCGTTGTCTTGCCAAGAGCGGTCGTGCCACTGGTCTTGGCCTTGCCAGCTTCGATCCCACCAACTGGAGGATCTATTCCACGGATCTACGTGATCCTGTCCTGAGGACGTCGTGTTGTTGGGGTTTACCACGTGCCTTGGCACGCGGGGCTACCCGCTGGGATTGGCGATGTCGATCTCGGCCTTAGCCGGCGGATCGACCCGCACTGAACCTTGGAGCGGAGGGTCTACCCTCACAGCTCCGCTACCATGCAAACAGCGAAGTTACACGGTGGGTGCGTATTGGGCTCAAAAAACACAGGTGGTGACAACACAGTACTGTTGACTCGGTCACCTCACTTTTTCCTCGAGTAGCACGGATGTGCTAAAAAGGGGCTGCGGTCACGTCAAGTGTCTTACATGACATGCCATCTCTACTCCTAGCTAGCTACTTAGTTCTGAACTAGGTGTTTTACCCCTAGCAAGTTGCTATTTTCTCATCTTTTCTTGTAGGAATCTGATGGTTTACCATAAGTTTTCTCATCTTTTCTCATGGGAACCTGATGGTTTATCATAGGTTTTCTCATCTTTTCCCATAGGAATCTGATGGTTTATCATAGATTTTTCTCAGCTTTTCTTATAGGAATCTGATGGTTTATCATAGATTTTCTCATCTTTTCTTATAGGAATCTGATGGTTTATCATTGGTTTTCCAATCTTTTCCCATAGGAATCTTATAATAATCGTTTATGGATGAATGAATGGTCACATTATTTGGGGGGTTCGGTTTTTGGACCTCCTCACTGGACCTTGTTGACCTAGTTGACCTATAGGGGGGGTGGTTTATTAATCCGGGGTCAACATTACTTGCCGAACGGGCAGGAGTAGCTTGTCTTGGTTTCCCAACCGAACCCTCATGAAGGAATTTACATTCAGTTCCTCGGTCACATCGTCCCTGTCTCCAAAACTTGCAAATCTTCTTGCCTTTCCCCTTTGGTTTGGGAGAACCAGAACGTTCAGAAGAACGACCTCTAGTCTTGCTAGGTTTGCGACTTCTATCACGTGGCTTGGGGACTTCATGCTTATAAGTACAGTTGTCTTTGCTACAGCCCCCTTTATTCCATGCCACACAATACCCCTTGGGGATGAATCCTGTCTTGCCCTCGACTGCTGGAGCGGAGGGGCGACCGGAACCTGAAAGGCCTTTGGCAACTCGATCACGATTTGCCTCCAACCTTTCGCGGTCAAGGTGGCGTCGTGCGGCAGAAACAAGGAAACTGTAGTTTCGTTTCTCGGTTCCTTCATCAGCTCTGTGATACTCATTCATATCGTGTTGGATAGCCTTGCAATTCTTCACTTGCTTGTAGAAGAGTGTTTCCAATACGCTTTCGTCAGGGGTTTGAACAATGCCGGCCAATACTTGGTCCCAGTTCGAAATGAAAGACTTCAAGTTCTCCCCACGCAATTGGACACTGAACAAATCTTGAAGGGCATAGGTCGCGCCATGCTTGATATTCGTACTGAAGTGGTCATGGAGCATGAACAGCACTTGTCTTCCCCTCACGATTCGTCCAGCAGTGGCTTCGGTTTCCTTAAAGGTTTCTACCTTACGGGCGAAGTCACCAGTAATGACGTTTGTGAGTGCAGAAAGTAGCTTTGCATCAAGAGTCGCGAACGGCGCAACCTTCCGGAGCGCTTCAAGAGTCTGTTCTTCTTTCCAAGAATCACTTGAGGCCGGGGGTGGATGACGAAAGCTAGCGGGGTAGGAGAAAGAAGGAAGGGAAGAGGTGAGTTGCGGAGAGACTGTCATCATCGTGTCGCGGCATTGTTCGTCCCAACGAGGATGCAAAAATGATATATGATATATGATATATAACAATGATATATATGGGGGAGGGGGCAGGGGGGGGCCCTTTCGCGTGAAAAAACACGTGATGTCCCTGGGGAGCCCCGCAATACTTGCGAAAGCAAGAAGACTCTAGCGAGCTGACGCTAGCTTTCGTGATAATGCCAATAATTGCCAATAATGATAAAATGTAATTGATTAACGATGATGGTGATGCTGATGATGATGATGATGACGATGACGAGGACGATGGCGAGGACGATGACAATGATGATGATGATGATGATGACGATGATGATGACGATGATGATGGTGGTGATGTTGATGATGATGATGATGATGACGATGACGAGGACGATGGCGAGGACGATGACGATGACGATGATGATGATGATGATCATGATGATGACGATGATGATGACGATGATGATGATGATGATGGTGGTGATGGTGGTGGTGGTGGGGGGGTCCCCCCCTTTCGCGTGAAAAATCACGTGATGTCCTTGAGCAGCCCCCGGAATACTTGCTAAAGCAAGAAGACTCCAGCTAGCTGACGCTAGCTTTCGTGACTACCCCACTTGAAAGCACTGTCGGGATCGGTGGATGCTGCTACAACTGCTTCACGTGTCTTGATTCTCCAATTACGGTAGGTCTCTGCCAATGGGAAAGCCGGGATCTTGATAGTATCAGCTTCTTTGACCTTGGGTTTGTCATCGGTCCTTTGATCAACATACCCCCCAAGGAACTTGATCATTCTACGCCTAAACTTTTCATCATCGTCATCATCGGGATTGTCGTCACCTCCATCATCACCATCCGGAGGGCCGGAACCGCCCTTGTCTTTCCTGGGCACTTTCTTGTTCCTATCCCCCGTGGGCTTATCATTTGGATCAGGTGGTGGTGGATCATTTCCCCCGTCCCCTCCGTTGCCATCCCCTCCATCCCCTGGATCGTCCCCATCAGGCAGTTCGTCATCATCGCCAGGATCGTAGTAGTCCTCTGGACCTAGCTCGGTCGGCGAATATAGATGAGTCGGTGCAGGGTAATTGAACTTCTCAGTAGGAGGGATACCGCTACGTCTGGTGGCGGCCATTCCTCCCGGAAGGCGTTCATCATTTGACGATCGAGCCACATCCGGTTCTTTCTTCACATGAATTGGTGTCTTGCACTTTGGGTCATGATAGATGATTTCAACGCCATCCCTCTCAAAAGTATCAAGGTCAGGTGAAGAGAACTCAATTGGCGCCCTTGGGTATGGTGGATTGGCTACTTTCAGAGGTGGTGCTGCGGGCGCAGCTTTGCGGGTCGGCGGAACATATTCAAAATCCGGAAAAGTTGATGACGTATGAGCTTCGGCTGTGACAGTCATGGCGGCAGTCTCAACAATAGGACTTGGACGAACTTGGGCAAACTGGGAATCAAGCATACTTTGCAATTTCAGATTGTGTTGCATCTGGGCTTGTACCATTTGTTCAAGTTGAGTGATGCGGTCATTCTGAATCCTTCTATCTTCCTCAGCCTGCCTCTTCAACTCAAGTATCTCTTGTTCTTTACTGGAAAGTGATTGTAGGTGATTGGCATCAATGACACGTTGATAGGCTTGAATTTTCTCATTCATTTGAGCTTCTCGGAACCTTACATGTTCGTGCGCCTCATGCTGTAAATTCTCCCTATATTGGGCTCCCATTCTCAATACTTCTTGTTCTTTGGACATCATTGCATCTAGGGCCCTCTGACTCTCAATGCCCTCACGGACTCGCAATGCTTCCACCAATTCCTCAGTCTTTGCCGTGTGGACGGCCTCAGCATGAGCTTCGGCCTGGGCCAATACTTCGCGATGACGGAGTTCGGCCGTTGTTTCCACAAGGCTTGTCATGGCAGGGTCATGGGAATGAAAATGAACACTCTGCTCGACGAAGTTTACTTGAGGATTGTCAACATGCACATTGTGCTGGTAAGTATTGTGAACATTCATTTGGTTCAACCGGCGAGTCGGTGGCCCACCCTCCCAAGCAGCTTGGGGGACAAAACCACGGTGATTGAAACCCACATGAGAAGGCACAACTGCGTTACTCAACTGTGGTAAGTGGCGTCTTTCCCTCAAGCTTCTTGATTTGTCAGAACCAGGTGGGGTGCTGATGTCAACTGAAAATGGCGAGTTGTTTATTGGTAATGTCCCCGGGTTTGCCATGGCTGCGTCAGAGGCGGGATTACAACCGGTGCCCTCGGTGGAAGAACCCGAGGGGGCAGACATACCTAGAAAGGAAGAAGTTAGCTTACGGCTGATAACCTGTTTTACAGGCGAAACAGCCTAAACACAACAGCAATTACGCGCTTGTTTCTTGAGCCATGTGCAACACGGTAAGTAGAGTAATGTACAAGGTATATACAGTGATACATGCTAAAAACAAGACTTAAATAAGAGAATGGACAACTTTTCAAGAAACCTCAATGAGGAGTTTAAAAAGAACACCACGCTATACAAAGAAGAAAGAAACATACAGAACAAGGAAAAGGTTGAAGACCGTTTCGGCTTAACAAATGCTTACAGGTCTCCATCAGGTCTTTAATAAAACGGGAAAAACATTTTACGTTGTTGTTGTTGTTGTTGTTTTTTTGTTGTTGTTGTTGTTGTTGTTGCTGCTGCTGCTGCTGCTGCTGCTATTGCTGCTGTTGTTGTTGCTGTTGTTTCCGTTTTTGCTGCTGCTGGTTCTATTGTTGTAGCTGTTGTTGTTGCTGTTGATGTTGCTGTTGCTCGTGTTGTTGTTCGTGTTGTGGCTCGGGTTGTTGCTTGTGTTGTTGCTCGTGTTGTTGCTCGTGTTGTTCTGTTTCTCGTGTTGTTGTTGTTGTTGTTGTTGTTGTTGTTGTTGACATTTTCCTTTTTTGGAGGTGTGAACGTTCCTGCAAGATGCGCTACGTAGAGGATGTTACGCTGAAGGTCTTGGGCTGGGGCGGGGTGGGAAGGCTTTGCCCTAAGCACTTTGGTCTTGATGCTTTAAGACGTGAGAGACAAAAAAAGAATGGATCAGCCAGAGAAGCTTTTGACTTTTCGTCTTTGGAATAAATCAATGAACTGTCAAAAGGTTGATATCCAAAAAATATGAAGGATTTCAGTTGAATCATGAAAATGTTGAATGCCTAATTTGTTTTTTAGCACTCGAAGAGCAAAATTAGCTCACCGCGCAGGCGAAACACATTTTTTTGATCTTGAGTCGCACGCCTGCCAATCGAAATGGATGTCCTTGTTGCAATCATTTTTGAACGTGTCCCACAAATACCAGCGTTTTCTCTCTTAACCTCCAATTGTTTTTTTCAAATTTGTCACCCTTACAAGGGCGGGGAGTCAACCGGTTGCCTTGTTTTTCTTCTGTTCTACTGTTTTTTCGTTTTAAAAATGTGTTTTCTTCTTCTTCGTCATCATCATCATCATCATCTTCTTCATCTTCTTTGTGTTATTCATATTGTTCTTATTGTCGCGTTTCATTTTCTATTGCATTTGTTTCTTCCTCTTCCTCTTTTTATCCTTCTTTCTTGTCATCCTTCGTCTTCTTCTTTTTTTTTCTTTTTCGTCTTCTTGATGATTCTTATTTTTGTTCCTCTGTCTCTTCTTCTTCTTCTTCTTCTTCTTCTTTTCGTTCTTCTTCTTCTTCTTCTACTGGTTCTTCTTCCTGTGTATTTTCTGATTGTTATTGTTTTTCTTGTCTTCCTTCTCCTTCTCCTTCTCCTTCTTCTCCTTCCTTCTTCGTTTGGTTGTTCATCCTTTTCTGGGTTTTTCTGGGTTTCCTTCTCTTGTTACGTTGTTTTTTGATACTTATATGGTCTCTTCTTCTCCTTCTTCTTACTGCTGTTGTTGGTTGTTGTTGGTGGACATTTACTTAGAGTCGCCAATTTCCATCTCTGCTATATTTACTTTTTTCTTTCTCTCTTTCTCTCTTTCTCTCTTTCTCTCTTTCTCTCTATATCTCTCTATATCTCTCTATATCTCTCTATATCTCTCTATATCTCTCTATATCTCTCTATATCTCTCTATATCTCTCTATATATATCTCTCTATATCTCTCTAGATCTCTCTACATCTCTCTCTATCTCTCTATATCTCTCTCTCTTCCCCGATCTCTCGGAGTTTGACGTTGGGCATTTGCCCAAAGATTTTGGATCGGGCGTGGGCCAACCAGCTGACATGTCATGGACAAAAACAAGGCGCAGGGGGGAGGACATGACCGGCATGACACGTGCAGGCGCAGGGGTTAATTTGGTGTGGTCAAACTTCACTTGTCTACAAGTTGTAGCATGTGGGAATGCTGGAACGGCGATCATGGCAGGAACAGCGTTTCGTAGCTGTGCTCAAATCATGGTTCGGCCATCAACATCGTTATGACATGTTTGGATGGGAAGCTCTTAAGCCACACGCATTGTGCAGAACAAACTGGGCCTCAAGGGACTATGGTCAACTATGGTCGGAGTTTCAACTATGGTCGGAGTTTTAGACACGCACCATGAAAAGGCCAAAGGCTCAGCCACGGAGATGATAGCCATTAGATTGCCATTAGCAGTCATTAGCATCCTGAAATGCGTCCGCGGGAGATGCAAGGACCACCGAGACCTATCCGAGAGCTTGAGAGTATGGTGGACCATGACATACCATGACGAACAAGTTCAGCCGTAACGTCATCGATCGTCGACCTGTGACCCGATTTATCGCAAGTCATCCACGAAGCGGAACGTCTTGGGTGGGTGCCGACCTTCTTACTGGATCAAAAGGGTCTGCGCAGTTTCGACATTTCTCTCGGGCAATGTATTTCGACGTTTCCATGTATTTCCGTAAATGTTGCTTCGATTTATTGCCGCCGGTTGAAATGTCCACATCCCTGAAAGCCGGTCGCGCTCTATCGCACTCCGTGTTCAAGCTGCCCTTTGGAATACAACGTAGAAATCCATCCGATGTCCGCTGGAGGAAGACACCGTGTTACCTGTGACCCACGCCGCGGCACTTTTCACTTTGCACGTCTACGGCTGCGGCTACGGCTACGGCTACCTCGGGTGCCACTGTCTTCTCGACCTTGGCAGTTTCACACATGTTCACACGTTTTTCAAACAATGTTTCACACAATATTTTATAATATAATATATATATATATAATTTATAATATATATATATATATAACTATAATATAATATACATTAATATACTATATTCTTATTTTTCTTCTCTCTTCTCTTCTCTTCTGCTCTCTTTTGAAGTGTTGGGAGGGAATCCCATCACCGAACACAAGGGGCTTCTCGTCCGTTGTACCTCCTGGGGCAGAAACTGTTCGCATGCTTGTTCCTGGCAAATGTCGATGTCAGACGAGGCTCAAACGACAACGAATGACACTGAAACAGCATGATGCATCAAATATCATCAAATCATTCAGTGATTCAAAGTGATTCAAAGTGATTCAAAGCCACACCTCAATCGCTCCAGGGCCGCCTATCGCACAGGTATGACGCATCCCATTTGAGAAAAACGCAACGACGTGGCAGAATTCACACAACTTGGGACGCACTTGATGCACTTCAACTTTCCAGCACTTCAGCATACTTTAGCACCATTCTCAAAACTGTCGGAGGAGTTGCAATTCCCCACTTACGACATCAAACCCTGGTTCCAAAGCACAGCAACATCACTGCCCACGTGTTTATCAAATATCGATGCGGAGGTTAGTGTATTATCTCAAGTGCATACGGAATTTCACTCTACAACTAGTCTATAACTCTATAGATTTTGAATGATTTCGAACCGAGAGAAAAACATCAAAGAACCGGATCACAATGGCATCAGAACGGTATCACAACGGCAAACGGCCACATTGTGGCCACGAGGAACGCACCACGTCGCACCACGTCGCACCACGTCGCACCACGTCGCACCACGTCGCACCTTGTGCTTGTCTGCCCGAGCTTGGCCTTTGCTCCTGGCGGAAGATCAAAGCAATGAAAAAATGGAAAAAAAAACGCAGAAAAGTACATGATTTAAGTCATTGTTTAAGTTTAAATAAACGAAAAATGAAAATGGATGAACAAAGGTTTAAGTTAGTGGGGCACTTTGGCTCTCTGCTTCAAGTTGTGTATTGCAGGCTTACGCTTCTTCCACTCTTGCATATCTTTTGCATATCTCTTGAATATCTCTTGCATATCTCTTGATATCTTTTGCATATCTCTTGCATATCTCTTGCCACAACGAGGTCCTCTAATCTGAAAAAATCCTACTTGCTTGACACTTGCTTGACACTTGCGACTTGCGACTTGCTACTGTAGAGATGTGTGCAAAACCCGACTGATCTGTAAGTCTGAGATTCGAGCTCGCTGGGTGCCCCTGCGTTTGTGCAAAGGAATCATCGAACATCAAGATCCCCGCAATCGTTCCGTAATCATTCCGTAATCCCAATATTTCTTTATATTTCTTTAAAGTCCGCATCGACGTGACAACGTTGTTCTCGCTCTAAACCAGTATAATGCTATGGGCCCGCTTTGCCCAGCCTCGCGCTTTTGCTGTGCTGCGGGTCTTTGCCTGAAAGTCGGAAGATGAATAATCATGAAAACAAAGAAAGACATGAAAGACATGGGAAGAAATAAACATTCGATGACATAGATGCTTTCATGCTATGTTTGATCCTTCGAATCATGTGCACCGCCGAAAAAATACAACCCCCTATGGAGACAATACGATAAGACGGTGGGTTTGAAACAACTGTCATATTCAAGTCTAAAAAACACATAAAGCCATAAAGCTGATACAACATACTGAATGATGTGTTCTTTGAGATGTATCTTTCAGTGAAAGAGGATATTGACAGGGATAGTGGCCCCGGCACCTGGACAAAAAATGACAAATGTGAAACACGTGAACCACGTGAACCATGTGAATCATGCAGTCTCCAAAAGACTTCTGAGAACTCGGCACTCTTCTTTCTTCTTCCAAACCTCAACGGAATGGAACTGGATCGCATTCACTGCAGTTGTCAACGCAACATGGCTTCATTTGAACGATATTGAACACTAGTCGAAGAAATTACCCCTGAGTAAAACAAATCATTGAGTTTAAAATGATTCAAAATGTTGAAATTGAGTTCGAGATGGTTTTTTCTTACATCCCAAAAACAACATCTTGACATCATCTTCACATTCTTCACTTGGGTCCCGGCTCGTCCACCTCCTCGTCATCGCTGTCCCAAGCATTTCGATCGTTGGGATCCTGACACGATGCCAACCGGTCACGGTATGTCACGTCAACGAAAAACATACCGAGTCAGCCGAAAAACACAAAGTCCGACAACGAAACCAAAAAACTCCGAACAACACCGAAAAACTGAATCAATCGGATCCAATCAGCATCAATCGTTGTGTTTACTCAGTGTTTACCACCTCAAGACTCATGCTCTCGCAGGTAGGTCTTTTCGCACAAGGCCACAAGGCTACTTCAAGATGCTTCAACTTTACATTGGTTTACATTGTATACATGCTCTTGCTATCGTGTTGATTCAGTCCTGCCGATCAAACAGTCCACCACCTCTCCCTTCAGGTTGGCACAAAAACATGAAGACCATTCTGACTGTGCTCCAAAGAGAAGTGCTCTCAAAGTCCTAAAGAGGCAAAAAGATCAAAAAGGTGAAGACAGGAAGCGTGTTTAAGCGAGTGGAAAGCATACATCACGCAACTGGAAAGACTGGACAATTTTTTTTTTGCACATCCGAGGTTTGCCGTCGCGCCCGTGCCTTCATCTGCGGCTCTCTGTTGCTTTTCCTCCTGTGCCAAATCCGCCATGTCTATACTTGTCAAATCAGGAGCAAATCTCACCATCCGGACGCAAACAAACATCGAGCACCTGATATTGCTGGTGTGTGAATGATGTATCCCCGCATGTAACGCAATTGAGTCAAGTGAGCTGTGAATATTTGTGAGTTAGTTGTATGATTTGCATGGCAATCGTTCTCTCTATCTCTTTCGGGCATGTTGCATGGCAATCTTTCGCATTTGCGCTGGGTCTTCGCTGTGGTTGATGACTGTTCCGGGGAGTTCAAGTGGCATTCCAGGCCTCAATAGCTCTCTTCCTAAGTTTCAAATAGATCCGCGAAAAACAACGACAGTGATCCACACTTTCTAAAAGCAGTGTCAGACATGTTGGAACTTGAGGCTGGCACTCGGAGTCTGAAAAGACTACTTGCAGTTTACTTTTGTTTAGGAAACATGAAACATCTGAAAACATGTGAAGTATGAAGACGTTTGACAAGGTCTAGGAGTCTGCCCTTGTCTGCTAAGTTGGAGTCATGTCGGGCGACGGCTGCTTGCACCTCAATCCAACACTGTCACGGCTCACCTGATGACACTGTGTTCGTGTTGTCTTGACCAATCTGGTTGAATAATCAATTGTATCAATTTACCAATCTGTTGAGGAATCATTGACCAATGATAGTGATAACATGTGTTACCCACTGTTCATCATTGCATCTGGACCAATTTCGGTTGTTCTGTTGTCTATGGCTCTGCTCATCTCTGCTCATCTCTGCTCATCTCTGCTACACTATGTCAAACTGCCCCGGGGACTAAGCACCTTGCTGCATGCAATACATGGCTCCACCTTCGTTCTTGCTCGAACACCTGCCAAATTCTTGGCGAAGCATTCCTAATTTCCCTAATCGTTTTTGTTTCAACTCGATTTTTTCTGTTTCTGCTCGTGTTTGGTCTTTTTTGCAACAAATCTCTTGTGGCGGAATGCTACGAATACCATCTGTTCACGTTGGTTTGAAACATTTTGACATCTTCTTGGTGCAAGATCAAACATTGACCTGAGTGCCAGACTCTGAACAGGTCCAAGGGCCCATGCTGATCCTTGGAAAACTATGGATAATATATACATATATAGCTATAAATATATGTATAATATATACACATATATATATACATATACATATACAGATACATATATATTATTGAATATCATGGGTGCATATTATAGAGGCATGTGGATGCACATGTTTGATTCGGAGAGATTTCCAGCAGGATTTACAGATGCGTTTCTGCAGCTGAGTCACTTCTCACCATCCCGCCAGTCATCGAGAGGTCTGATCAGAAAACATCAACATGTTCAACATCAACTCACGGGATGAGGTACATATGGTACATAGATCCAAATAGATTCAAATGACGTGTTTTTTTCGAATATCCATATGATCACATATGATCATTCATATGACCATTCATATGACCATTCATATGATCGCATAGCTTGCACGTACTTCTTCAGAGATATTGATTGAATATGCGTCCGGCCGCCGGGCCTGTTACTTCCCTCAGGCTTTCGCGCACCACAAGATATGCAAGTCTGCCTGAACTCTCTGAACATCTGGCGTCGTTTTCATGAACTCATGTTTAGTCTCGTTTGAACTCTCACCTCATGACAATTTCAGGTTTGTTCGAACATGTTGCTTTGGGGATTGGTCAAAACCTATTATTACCAATTTTGAGGAAATAACCATCCATTAACCATATTAACCAGCTATTATAGGGTACCCAGGGTACCAGGGGTTTCGACTCAAATCCACTTTGCTTCGTTGAGGGCAGCAGTAAGCACTGCCCTATCCTTATGTTCTGTATGTCGTGTTCTCTTCTAGACAGTCTCTCACTGTTCTTCCCTCTCGCTTCCTAACATTTCCTTGGTCATCCTGATGTCATCCTGATTTCTTTGCCTTCGATTTTTCTAACGGGTCTTATCAGTTACTTGATCCATCTCCATCTGCGCCCTCTGACCGTGCCGCCGTGCCTTTTCTTAAAGTTCACAGTCCTGCAGCTGGGCTTGGGGCATTGCCAGTCCTGACGAAAAACGATGTCTTGGACAAGACATGATGGACATTTGCCAAGGTTTAAAAATTACTCCGAAAAAAAGTCAGCCGAGACCAAACAGGTTCGTTTCACCCCACCTTTAAAATCCTTTAAATGGTAATCACGAAGGAAACACAGTAAATTAAAGGACCGGATAACCCCACAAGTCAACTTCTTCCAATAATGAGTTTCAAAGGTTGTAGCGGGGTCGGAGAAGGAAGGAAAGACAAAGGAGGTGGTGAAAGACTGTGTGTGAAAGTATGTGAAAAGATAGTATGCATGTACGTATGTGTATATATATATGTATGTACGTACGTGCGTACGTACGTATGTATGTCTGTATGTACATACGTACGTATGTATGTATGTATGAATGGATGTATGTATGTGTATGTGTGTGACAAAGTTGCGCGTCTGGTGGTGTTTCTTCCACTAGGTAGTGACTTGTCACTGAAGGCCAGAAAAGAAACAAGATATGCTTACCACGGAAATTCTTTGTGGGATCCAAGGGTGTGTGCTGAACACTAGGTCTCACGACGTGTCTCACTCGCCTTCTTCGAGTTCCACCAGGCTCTGATGTTTTTTTCCCCGACGTTGCTTCCCGAAAGAGCTTTTATGGCAGAGCCCTCTATCAAAGCGATGGTGTGCTCTCCATACTTCCGCTGACCAAAGTAATGTTCTGCACTCTTTCGGGCGAAGCCGCAAATTTTGCGAACTCTTTCTGCATGCCCTGTGGCTGGTAATCATACCTGGTAAATAGTCATGATCAACTGCTGGCGTCATGGACGTGAGATTGTGCCCACCGCGTGCCACGTGAAATCAAGGTGTATGTCACCAAGTGCCATCAGTGAGGCGCCTGCCACGCAAAACGACCTTGCATGTAATCAAGGTGGACGTCACCAAGTGCCACGCCTGCCACGCAAAGTGCCGCGGCGTCACAAGCGACAAATCCGGACCAAGCGCGCCACCCCGTACCATGAGTGCCACGCCTGCCACGCAAAACGACGGTGGATGCGAGTTTTGTGCCACGCGTGCCACGTGAAACGAGGGTGGATGTCACCAAGTGCCACGCCTGCCACGCAAAGTGCCGCGGCGTCACAGGCGACAAATCCGGACCAAGCGCGCCACCCAGTACCATGAGTGCCACGCCTGCCACGCAAAACGACGGTGGATGCGAGTTTGTGCCACGCCTGCCACGTGAAACGAAGGTGGATGTCACCAAGTGCCACGCCTGCCACGCAAAGTGCCGCGGCGTCACAGGCGACAAATCCGGACCAAGCGCGCCAGCCAGTACCATGAGTGCCACGCCTGCCACGCAAAACGACGGTGGATGCGAGCTTGTGCCACGCCTGCCACGTGAAACGAAGGCGGATGTCACCAAGTGCCACGCCTGCCACGCAAAGTGCCGCGGCGTCACAGGCGACAAATCCGGACCAAGC